GTGAGCCACGGTGCCCAGCCTGGTTTTAATTTTTATCTTAAATTTATTTTTAATTTTGTTTTTAGAGATAGCGTCTCACTCTGCTTGTAGTGGTAGAATCAGAGCTCACTGCAGCTTCAAACTCCTGGGCTCCAGGAATCCTCCCTGTTCAAGCTCCCTAGTAGGTAGGAGCAAGTTTGTCCAAACCTCAGCCCACAGGCCGCATAAGGTCTGGGACAGCTTTGAATGCAGCCCAACACAAATTTGTAAACTTTCTTAAAACATTATGATATTTTCTTTCCAATTTTGTTTTTTTGAGCTCATCTGCTATTGTATTTTATGTGTGGCCCAAGACAATTCTTCCAGTGTGACCTACGGAAGCCAAAAGATTGGATACTCCTGGTATAGGCACATACCACCATGCCTGGCAAAATTTTTAATTTTTTTTGTAGAGATGGGGGTCTCACTATGTTGCCAGGCCGCTCTCCAACTCCTGGCCTCAAGCAATCCTCCCACCTTGGCTTCTCAATGTGCTCAGGTTATGGGTGTGACCACTCTCAGCCCATTTGCCTATTAATGGGTATTTGTGTTCCAAATTGTTGGATCTTTTTTTTTTTTTTTTTTTGAGACAGGGTCTTGTTGTGTCATCCAGGTTGGAGTGCAGTGGTGTGATCATAGCTCACTGCAGCCTCCACCTCCCAAACTCACACGATTGTCCTTCTTCAACCTCCCTAGTAGCTGAGATTGCTATTTATTTTTAGTAGAGACAGGGTTTCACCATGTTGCTCAGGCTGGCCTCCAACTCCTGGTGTCAAGCAATCCTCCTGCCTTGGTCTCCCAAAGGGTTGGCATTACAGGCAATTACAAATACAGTTGCTATGAACATCTGTGTGCAAGTCCTTCTGTGGACATGTGCTTTCATTTCTTTTGAGTAAATACCTAGGGATGGAATGGCTGAATCACATGCAAACAAACATATGCTTACCCTTTTAAGAAACTTCCTAAGTTTTTTCCAAAGTGGTTGTACCATTTCACATTCCCAATAGTAGTGTATGAATTTCAGTTGCTCTATGTTCTGACAAATTCTTGGTATGACTAGTCTTTTGGAATTTACCATTAAATAGGTAGGGTATGTTGTTGAGGTCTTAATTTGTATTTTTCTCTTAATCTGTATTTCTCTAATGACTAATGATGCTGCATATCTTTTCATGCCTTTATTGTCATCCATATATGGCTTCTTTGATGAAGTGTCTCTTCAAACCTTTTGCCCATTTGTTTTTTGAGTTATTATTGAGGTATGAGAGTTCAAAAAGTAGACACTCTGGATATAAATTCTTTTTTTTTTTTTTTTGAGATGGAGTCTTGCCCTGTCACCCAGGCTGGAGTGCAATGGTGTGATCTTGGCTCACTGCAACCTCTGCCTCCTGGGTTCAAGCGATTCTCCTGCTTCAGCCTCCTGAGTAGCTGGGACTACAGGCACCTGCCACCACGCCAGGCTAATTTTTGTACTTTTAGTAGAGGCGGGGTTTCACCATATTGGCGAGACTGGTCTCGAACTCCTGACCTTGTGATCCACCCGCCTCGGCCTCCCAAAGTGCTGGGATTACAGGCGTAAGCCACCTCGCCCGGACTGGATACAAATTCTTTACCAGGGTCCGGAATGGTGGCTCACACCTGTAATCCCAGCACTTAGAAAGGCTGAGGCAGGTGGATTGCTTGAGCCAAGGAATTCGAGACCAGCCTGTGCAACATGGGGAAACGCTATTCTCTGTAACAAATACAATAATTAATCAGGCATGGTGCTGCACACCTGTAGTCCCAGCTACTAAGGAAGCTGAGGTGGGAGGATCACTTGAGCCTGGGAGGTTGAGGTAGCAGTGAGTCATGAGCATGCCACTATACTCCAGCTCTATTGAGACACAGCGAGGCCCTGTCTCAAAAACAAAACAAAACAAAACAAAACCACATACAGACACATTCTTATCAGATACATGATTTGCAAATAGCTGCTTCAGTTTTTGCCTTGTCTTTCCATTCTCTTTCTGGGGCTGCAGTGTGCTATGATGATGCCATCATACTCCTGGGCTCAAGTGATCCTCTGCGTCAGCCTCTCGAGTAGCTGGGACTACAGGTGCATGCCACCATGCCTGCCTCAAGTATTTCTGATGCTGTTGTAAATGGTATTTTAAATTTTAATTTCAGATTGTTCATTGCTAGTGTACTACAAATGCAATTGACATTTGTGTATTGATTTTATGACCTGTAGTTTTGGTCATTTATTTGATCTGATAGTTTTTTGTAGATCTTGTGCCAGAGTTTTCAACATGTCACCTACAAATAAAACCAGTTTTACTTCTTCTTTTCTAATTTGAATGCCTTTTTTTTTCCTTGCCTTATTGCACAGGCTAGAATCCCCAGTACAATATTGAACAAAAGTTGTCAGAGCAGAAATCCATGCCTTGTTCCTCCTAATCTTAAGGTGAAAGCATTGTTCTTCACCATTAAGTGTGATGCTTTTTATAGACACTCTCTATCAAGTTGAGGAAGTTTCCTTGTAATCTTAGGAATGGATATTGGATTTTGTCCAATGCATTTGCTGCATGTATTGAGATTATCAAATGGTTTTTCTTTTTCAGTCTGTAAATATTGCTTGATTTAGCAATGCTAATTCAACCTTGCATTCCTAGGATAAGCCCCTGTTTGGGCCTATAACGTATTATCTTTTTAAATATATTTTTTACATATTTATATATCTTTTTTTCTAATATAATCTACTCTTTTACTGCCTCGTCTCATGTAAACTTGTGTAATTTCCCATTGGGTCCACCTTAGGAAACAGTCTTTAAGGTTTTCTCCATAAGACAAGTACCAGTATACTCTTTTATGGTCAATACAATGCTAATTCAACCTCGCATTCCTAGGATAAACCTCTGTTTGGCTATAATGTATTCTTTTTTTATATACTGTGAAATAAAAGTGACTAGAATTGTGCATATTATGCTTATAAGAGATATTGGTCCACAGTATACTTGTTTAATATCTAGAGTTTGGGTATTAGTTTAATGCTGGCCCCATAGAATAAGCTGGGAAGTATTCCCTCTGTTTTCCTCCTATTTCTGGAGGACTTTATCTAGAATTGGAATTATGTTTTTCTTATATATACCGTGTTAAAACCATACAAAAGAAAGCCTAAGTGGCTGTAATACTATCAGACAAAATATACTTCAGAGCAAAGAACATTGTCAGGAAAGAGGAGGGTCATTTGTAAAGTGGATAATTTCATAATGATGAAACTTTCGTAAAGGATAAATTCATACAAATAAGAGAGTAACTATGTTTATGCAACTAATAGCAGAGTTTCAAAGTACATGAAGCAGAAATTGATAGAATTACAATGGAAAAAAACCAGTAATAGTCAGAAATTTTAATACTCTCAATAATTAGTAGAGTAAGTAGACAGTAAATCAGAAAGGATATAGATTTGAACACTAATATCAACCAACTTGACATGACTGACATTTATAGAACACTCCATCCATGTGCAAAAAACACATTCATTTCAAATGCAAGACAGACTATACTCTGGGCCACAGAACAAGTGTCAATAAGTTTAAAATTATTAATATTGTACAAAGCATCTTCTCTGATCACAATGGGATTAAATCAGAAATCAGTAACAGGCAGCTATCTGGAAAACTTCCCCACTTACGAAAAACACGAGAAACCCATGGTCAAAAAAAGAAAGCAATAGGGAAATTACAAAGTATTTTGAAATGAAGGAAAATGAAAATACAATATATCAAAATATGTGGGATGTAGCTAAAACAGTATAGAGGGACACTTATCACACCAAATGCCTGTAGAAACAAGAGACATCTAAAATTAGTGGTCATCAGTTTCTGAGTTAAGAAACTAGAGAAACAAAACAATAAATTAAAAAATTAAAAAATTAAAAAATAGCAGAATAAAGGAAACAATAAACATAAGAGCAGAAATCAATAAAATAGAAAACAGAAAACCAGTAGAGAAAATCCAAGAAAGCAAAAACGGGCTTTGAGATTTGAGATCCGTAAAATCGAGAACCCCCTCGCCATGTCGATCAGAAAAAAAGATGACACACAAATTACCAATTTCAGAACCGGAGGGGTCAGATTTTATAGACATTAAGTGGACAATAAAGGAATACAGCTAACAGATTTGCATTATTAAACAATTTAGACATTTCTACAAACTATTAAAGCTCACTCAAGAGGCGGTATCAATAAATATTGGTTGAATTAGTGAATGCCAGCTATTACTATGGGCAGGGCTTTAGAGAGAAACGAAAGCATTTTTTTTTTTTTTTGAGACCGAGTCTCGTTCTGTCGCTCAGGATGGAGTGCAGTGGCTCGATCTCGGCTCACTGCAACCTCCGCCTCCCGGGTTCAAGCGACTCTCCAGCCTTGGCCTCCGGAGTAGCTGGGATTACAGGCGCGCGCCACCATGCCAGCTAATTTTTGTACTTTTAGTAAAGATGGGGTTTCACCATGTTGGCCAGGCTGGTCTCGAACTCATGACCTGGTGATCCGCCCGCCTCGGCCGGTCAAAGTGCTAGGATTACAGGCGTGGGCCACCGCGTTGGGCCAAAGGAAGCATTTTCCTTCCAAAGAAGCTCTCAGGTTACTGCAGGGGCAAAAAAAACAGATAAAGCTTAATGTTGCTCCGGGGCAGAAGAGTAGAGGAGCATTGCTTAAAGAAAGGCTTCTTTGGGGACAAGTCACTCCGCCAACACATGAAGGACCCACGGAAAACGTTAGAGTTAGAACAGCTGCACGTGAGTTCACACAAGGGGCCCAGAAGTGGCCCTCCGGCGACTACCTGCTCCCCTGTCCTCCTAGTACAGTCCTAACCCTTTCCCAACTGGTGCTGGCAGCAGTTAAGAAACCACCTCCTTCCAAATCCAGCTGTCTTGCGCCTGCGCATTCAAGCAAAGCGCTCATAGAAGGCGGGGGGGGAGGGCGTTACCGGAAGTGTGACCTCTCGCTCCCCGCAGCCTATTCTCATCCGGGGTCACGTCGATCTTCCGGGTGTCTTTGACAGGGTTCTCTACGCCGCTTTTTCTGCGACTTTTTGGTCTTCCGCTTTTTGCCACCGCCCCCAACCTTCTAAATCCTTGCGGCCCCTATCTTTTATTGTGTTACTCCTCCCCTGGCAGCCGTGCCGGGGGTTAGATCGCAGGCAGGGTCGGAGCTGGGCCTAGCTGCCCCACGGGCCAGCCACTACCTCCTTTGGTTTGAGAGAAAGCTACGACCGAGTACGCCCAGCCGTCCCAGCTCGGGCCTTGGAACTTCTGAGCGGGCAGTGCGGGTAGGCCCTCCTTAGTCCTTCCCGGAGAACACCTGTGAGTTTAGGGGGTTTCGGAGAGGAACGCAGCGGTGTAGGCCCAGGTCGGGGGCGGGGCGCGGGAAACTTTTTCCGAAACGGTAGCGTTTTGTTTTGCGTGGGAGGTTCCGGCAGTATCTCTTGGTTATTCCAAGTTTATGGGCGGCCCTTGGGCTGCTTGTACATTTTGAAGAATCTTAGGACCGCTTACTTTGCTTACTCGTTTTTCTGGTTCTCGCGTACTCCCTCGTCCACCACTCCAGGACCAAAAGAGGAAGATAGTCTTGGGACCCCTGCATGGTGTTTCAAAGGGTGGTAAAGAACTAAGGTAAATAGCTGGATTAATTAAAAAATTTAAAAGGCATTTATCTTTTAAGGCTTAATTAAATGGCATGAAATTGCCTCAGCTTTTCACTTATAGGAAAATGCACAGGTTAAGACTGTTAGTTGTGTACGTTTCTTTTCTTGTTCAGCCTTTGTAGAAAGGCTTTTCGTGTCTTAAGGTGAGAACACGAAAGGCTTATGTGTCTCACAACTTATGGATTCTCTAAATTACTTGTCTTATCTCTTTCAACTCTTTGTTTAAAATAGCAGATGTTTTTCATTAGGGTGAACAGAAGAAACAAAGGGAAACTGTAAAACACAATCTTAATTACAGATGTGCAGTGTATGATTTTGTGAGGAAAGAGATTGTAACTGATCACTAAATCTGTGTTTTTATATTACAGGTAACATAGTTAACTTTTGTAAATATCTTCATATTGTATGGTTCAGTACCAGAAGGCTTCCAACACATACTGATTAACAGCCATAAGGCTATTAATTTATACTGATTAATAGCCAGTAATAGTGACGTTACTTTGTTGGTGTGAATAGCCCTAATTATGCCTGTTAATTATGCCTGAAAATGTCTTGTAACAGCCTCCATGTGAAACAGGCCATTTATGAGTTGTTTAAGAAATGCTCGTTTGGAGCCATGTGACTAGATTATTTTTTGAAGACTTGGGTGTAATTCAATTCTTAGCCAAAGGGAATATCCTGTTCAAAACCTGGAAGTGGTTTTCACAGTGGGTTGGTAGGATTTAGGAATTGAATTTTTCGTATTGTGGAGAAAAGAAGTGGGTTTGAGGGATCAAAGATATTTGTACAAAATGGACAGTATCTTGGTTTAGCCAGTACAGTTCTGGTTTTTATACTAGGTGTATTCTGCTTTTCAAAGAATCTGATGAAGGAATTATATATAACCTTGAGTGTTCTCTAATTTGTTGGAGGAGAGGTCAAGTTGAGGACAGAAATTCCAGGTTGCAAATTACAGGACCAAATACTTTATCACTAGAAATTATTAGGAATTAATCTACTTTTTTTTTTTTTTTAAGACGTAGTCTTGATCTTGTCACCCAGGCTGGAGTGCAGTGGCACGATCTCGGCTCACTGCAGCCTCCGCCTCCTGGGTTCAAGTGATTTTCCTGCCTCAGCCTGCCGAGTAGCTGGGATTATAGGTGCCCACCATCATGCCCAGCTGATTTTTGTATTTTGTAGTAGAGACGGGGTTTCACCATGTTGGCCAGGCTGGTCTCAAACACCTGACCTCAGGTTGATCCATCCTCCTCGACCTCCCCAAGTGCTGGGATTACAGGCGTGAGCCACGGTGCCCGGCGGAATTAATCTACTCTTTTACTGCCTTGTTTCACGTAAACCTGTGTAATCTCCCATTGGGTCCACCTTAGGAAACAGTCTTTAAGGTTTTCTCCATAAGGCAAATACAGTATACTATTTTATGGTCAAGTACAGATTGTGGAACTGATAACTTTTAAGGTAAGGAAAATTGGATATTGCCAATATCTGGATTTTTATGTATCTCTCATAAAATTTGTCACATGGAAGATGGTAGAAGACCACAGTTAATGTGGAGTAATGTTTTGTATAACGAATCCCTACTTACTGAGGAAACCTTTCATTCAGAGTATGAAGAAAATGAAGATTTAAAATTTTGTGGAGGTCCCCTTACTTCTGTTATAGTAATAGTTTTACTGTATTTTATTTTGTGAAACTACATTCTGTTTAAAAAATGATTATGTTGTTTATGGTAGATAATTGTTTTGATGTCATTTTTAGTTTCATCAAAATCAATGTGAAATATATTAGAAAAAAGGAATAGAAATTCATGGGCGTTTCATTTACTTTCTTAACTCTAGATGTCTTTCAGAATACCTATATTGGTGAACATAGAATGAGTGCCTCAGAATGATTTTCCCCGACTTGAAGTCTACCTTCGTTAAGAGCCTGACTTGAGGGCCAAAATTCATACTGAGGAGAGGCTGACAGATCCTTTGTTTTGCAGGGGCTCCAGAGCTTGATATATTTCTGGGAATTTGGGATAGGCTGAACTAGATTTCTGCCCCAGAGTAAACATCTGGCTGTGGACTCATTCTAAGTTTTTAAGCTGGGGATAATTTGATCATTAACTTTGTAGAGTAGTTCTGGGCCACAAGACATCTTTAGATTTATTCTTCGTTTGGTTTTGGCTGTGTATAGGATGGAAACAAGGTGAGGTCTGGGCTCTTAATGTCATTTTGGATCTTCAAATCTTAATATACATGGACCTTATTCAGTTATAGAGGAAAAACAGCATGTTTTTATAGGTATAAACAAGTGTCTATAAAGCAAAATTTGTTACAGTGAATTGTGTTTAATAGCATTTTCTCATAAATCCTATGAAGTAGGATCCTATGTTTTATGGGAAATTAAAAAAGGGTTAAAAAAGGCCAAGAAAGAGTGTGAACCTGAGCAAAGGATGAAAAGTGTTCGTTGCCCACCTTGAATCTGGCAATCCAATATTTTTCTTTTTTCTTTTTTTCTGTTTTTGAGACAGGGTTTCAAAACTCCAGCCGTTGACCAGGCTGGAGTGCAGTGGCACAGTCTCCTTGGCTCACTCCAACCTGTGTCTCCCTGGCTTAAGTGATCCTCACACCCCAGCCTCCGGAATAGCTGGGACTTCAGATGCACACTACCACACCTGGCTAATTTTTGTTGTGTCTTGTTTTTTTTTTTTTTTTGAGACGAAGTCTCATTCTTTCACCCAGACTGGAGTGCAGTGGTGTGATCTCCGCTCACTGTGACCTCTTCCTGCCGGGTTTAAGCGATTCCCCTGCCTCAGCCTCCCAAGTACCTGGAATTACAGGTGCCTGCCACCGTGCTAGCTAATTTTGTATTTTTAGTAGAGACGGGTTTTGCCATGTTGCCCAGGCTGTTCTTGAACTCCTGACCTCAGGTGATCTGCCCGCCTTGTCCTCCCAAAGTGTTGGAATTATAGGCATGAGCCACTGCACCTGGCCAAATTTTTTTTTTTTTTTTTTTTTTTGAGACGGAGTTTTGCTCTTGTTGCGCAGGCTGGAGGGCAATTGTGCAATCTTGGTTCGCTGCAACCTCCGCCTCCCAGGTACAAGCGATTCTCCTGTCTCAACCTCCCAAGTAGCTGGGATTACAGGCATGTGCCACCACGCCTGGCTGATTTTTTTTGTATTTAGTAGGGATTTCACCATGTTAGTCAGGCTGGTCGTGAACTTCTGATCTTAGGTGATCCATCTGCTTCGGCCTCCCAAAATGCTGGGATTATAGGTGTGTGCCACTGCGTGCGGCCTAATTTTTGTATTTGTTGTAGAGATGAGATTTTATCATGTTGCCCAGGCTGGTCTCTAACTCCTGGGCTCAAACAATCTGCCTGCCTCAGCCTCCCAAAGTTCTGGGATTACAGGGGTGAGCAACTGCCCAGCCCAGGATTATTGTATGTATTTTTACTAGGGGATTCCCTGGAATGCTGCTTAGTTTGAGATACTTGTCCATTTCCTCTGAAGAAGCTAGGGTGTACAGGTGAGGAAATATGATAGGATTATTTTCTTTTTTTAAAATCTCTTATGAAAAGACATAAGGGTCTGCTAAAAAGTTGACAGACTTGTTTTCTGGAGGTTAACCTTGTCTCTGGTCCAAATTAGAGTCAGGCATTTGGGATGAGGTCTGATGGTGGTTCATAGAATTTTGTCCACAATCTGTTATGAACCCTGGACTGGTGAGCCTTGTTATCTGTGGCCAACCTAGGGAATTTTAATCTTACGGAATTGAAAAAATAAGGAACAATGTTTGTGAGGGATTTATTTATTTCTTCCCAGATCTTTCTTTCTCTTCCGTTGTCTCTTATAGTTTTTTCCAGCCCTCCTAGTCACAATCCCCAGAGGCGACTATTTCGATTCTTCTGGCTACCTAGTTTTATTTTTCTCTGTTGTTTAGAAAAAAAAGTAAAGTAAAGCTTCTATACTTCATTCTTTTGATTTATATTTACTGCAAATGAGGATTTAGCACTTTTTGTACCCTCTGTCATCCTCCATATAAAACTTGTGATATATAAACACAAATGCATAATATAATGTCATATATAAATAAATATATAATAAATTTTATATGGTAGCTCAGTTTAAAAAAATCAGTATATTCAATCTTTATTGTAAGAATCAGGTAGGTAACTATGATTATATTGCCTTTTTTATATTACCTATTGAGTGTTTTTTTCTTTGGTAATTTATTTTTAACCAGCTACTTTTCTGTATTTCTAAAATTATTTCTACTCTGTTAACAGAACTTTTCTCTATGGTCAAATACATCAGGTAATCTACCAGTTGATTTTTTTTTTTTTTAAACTTAGATATCTTCTTGAAGCCCTGCATCCTGCTATTCTAATTTGAACTGTTAGTTTCCCAGCACTGTCATCTTGGGGAATTTACTTTGTTTCTGCCCTACATCAGATCTCCCTTTTTCTGGATTCCAGGTTTTCGTTTTCTTTTTTGATAACTTACCTGTCTAAGAATGTTTCTAGTTGCCCTTGCATTTGATAGTACAGCTAGGTATAGAAGTTCAGCCTGAGAGCATTTCCATCAGAGATTTGAAGTCATGAGTCCATGTCCTGTGCTATTGAGAAGTCCAAAGCCATTTTGATTGCTTGCCCTTTGTTTATACCATTTTCTCCTTCTGGAATATTTTATAAACTGCTTTTTTTTGTGTAATATTCGGAAACTTCAGTATAATATACCTTGACATGTAACTTTTTTACTGTGCTTTGTACTCTTAGGTCCTTTCAATCTGAGGATTGGTGTCTTTCAGTCTTTGGCATTTTTTTGTTTTATTTGTTAGGTAATGTCCTGTGTTTTTTTCTGTTCTTCCTGGACCTTCTGTTATGTTAGATTACATAGTTTAATAGTCTTCTGTTTTCTCTTCTATTGTCTTGCCTCCTTCCTGCCCCTACCAACTTTTCCTTTTTGTTCTTTCTAATATATTTCCTCAAAGTTACATTTTAACTTTCTTCTGGATAGTTCTGCTTTCAATTTTATAATTTCCCACAGCCTTTTTATTTTATTTTTTTGAGATAGGGTCTTGCCCTGTCACCCAGGCTGGAATGCAGTGGCATGAACATGGTTCACTACAGCCTTGACCTTCTGGACTCAAGCAGTCCTCCCACCTCAGCCTCCTGTGTAACTGGGACCATAGGCACACACTACTGTGCCTGGCTAATTTCTTTGATTTTTTATAGAGACAGGGTCTTACTTTGTTGCCCAGGCTAATCTTGAATTCCTGAGCTCAAGTAATCCTCCCACCTCTGCCTCCCAGAGTGCTGGGATTGTAGGTGTGAGCCACTGCACCTGGCCCCTTTCTTTTTAAATAGCATATTCTTGTTTTATATATACAATGTTTTTTCATTAATCTGAGATTTTTTTTTTTTTTGAGTGTTCATTTGTTCCTGACATTGTTTCTGTTTATTCCCAGGTTTTATTTTTCTTCTGGTGATCCGTGGATGCCTATTTTAAGTGAAAATATCAGGAGTCTAATTAGAAACTCTAAAAATGTGTGGGTAGGGCCTGTCAACTAGTAGGCTTCATGTTAAGTTGATTAGGTAGCTAGCTTGACATTTTCTTGATGCATTCCCAAGTATTATTATGTTACAGGTTCTCTTGTTACTATGTTACATAGTTTCTCTGTCATTTTGTTTTTTCATAGAAGAGTTTTCTAATTGCTTGCTTTGAGAAAGTGGGTTGAGGGGTCCTATTTTTCTTTGTAGACTTTACTTGATACTCGTTTTCAGTTTATTACCTTATCCAATCCTTTGTAAAACTACAACCTTGGTGTATGAGTCATTGCAAAGAATAAATATCTACTTTCCTCCCTGGATCAGTGAAGGATTCTGATTGCTTTGTATAGTTTTTCCCTATTCCTATGGAACAGAGCCCTCTTTTATTGGAAATCTTTTATATAAATTATGTAGACTTTGAGGGGAATCTCAGAATTTTATAAATTGTTAAGACAATATAAAATCCATTCCTTATTTGATTGGACCTGTAAGAACCAAATTCTAGGAATCAGGATGTCATGTGATGGTTTATACCTTTGTATAAATTAGATTGAGAATAAATGTAAGAATCTGTGGGATTTTATTAATGTCAGGTGATAACTTGATTTTCTAAAAGATTTTTTGATATGAGGGTAAATGTAGTAGGGTAAATTCATCAGAAAATTAGAAATGTGCATGTATCTTGCATCTGAATAATGCTAATCTTAGATTTAGAATTTATTGTTAGTTTCCTTTTGTTACCTACAGGGGCACTTAGGAGACCTATTTAACTTTGCAAATAAAATTTGTAACTTGATAACTAATTGTTTTAAGTTACTGGATAATAGAAGTGTTTAGTATCTTTAAGCTATAATAATTTAGTATTGTCTTTTTAAATTATCCTAGGTAGAAGAATACATGTTCACTTCCAGTGAACAAGAGCATGTTCCCAAACTCAATTTTGGGTCGCCCACCCTTCACTCCAAATCATCAACAACATAATAACTTCTTTACCCTATCACCTACTGTTTATTCACACCAGCAGCTTATAGATGCACAATTCAACTTTCAGAATGCGGAGTAAGTATGATGATATTTTGGCCCATGTTGGTAAATTTCATTTTCTATTTGACATAAGCCCTTTTTGTATGAAACTTTCGAACGTGGAGAATATGTCGTCACATGTTTTTTTTGATGGGAAGTATTTAATTTTTTTAAAGAGATTGGTTTTGTTTTTAAAGAAAAAAATGTGTATATGATTACTGTTCTTTTCTTTGATTTTGATAGCTTGTCTAGAGCTGTGTCATTACAGCAGCTGACATATGGAAATGTCAGTCCAATACAGACCTCAGCTTCCCCATTATTTCGAGGAAGGAAGTAAGTACTTCTTAATTATTTTAAAAGAATATTTTTGCGTTTCTGAGAACTCTGTAACAGTGTATCTTGAATTAATGTTGTATGGACCCTATGCCCTGTGTTTTGTTTTCCGGGACCTCTACGATCAGATCAGTCATGGAATTTTAACATTTTTTGCATTTAAAAATTTTAGGGGTTCTTTTGTTGATTTGTTTCTGCTTTATTGTATGTTTGTTTCTGCCCTACATGAGATCTTCCCTTTTCTATATTCCAGGTTTTCTTTTTCTAGAATAAAGCTAAGTTTCCTCAGAAAACCACTTTTTAATTGAGATTTTTTAACTAAATGAGATGGCCTTCTGTATTCATTTGCTAGGGTAGGGTTGCTGTAACAACATACCACACATTGGGTGGCTTACACAACAGAAATTTATTTTCTTACAATTCTGGAGGCTAGATCAAGGTGTTGGCAGGGTTGGTTTCTTCTGAGGCTTCTTTTCTTGCCTTGTAGAAGACTGCGTTGTCACTGGGTCTTAATATGGTTGTTTCCCTGTGTTTTCTGTGTCCTCATCTCTTCTAAGGACACCAGTCATATTGGATTAAGGTTCATCTTAAAGGTCCCACTTTAACTTTGGTAACTTTTAAGAGGTCCTCTCTCCAAATACAGTCACATTCTGAGCTCCTGGGGCTTAGGACTTCAGCTTTTGAATTTCTAGGGGGACACAATTATAACATTTTCTTTCTAGTAAACTTTACGTTTTGATTTATCTGCGTCCTACACAGGTAAGGTTCCATGATAACAAACATTGTAGTGAAAATTTCTGTGTAACGTAAAACTTCCTATAGTCAAGTCAGGAGTCAATTAATTTTAATCTATTGGATTAAAAGAAATTCATTTATTACAAAATATAACAGAACTTGAGAGGTGATTGTTAAAATAACATTCGACAATATTTGAAAGATACCACTGTTACTTAAAAACGTATATAAACATTCTATAACCTTTACGTCTCATAAAAAAATAACACTATCGGTGAACAAGGTGCTGTAAAAAAAGATAATAACACTAGGAATTATTAATTGCTCATTATGTAGTAATCATTATTCTAAGCCTTTACAATTAATGGTTTGATTAAATCACATAGCACTGAGGTAGGTACTATTATCCCTTGCCTGTTGAGGAGAAAGCTGACCCACACAAAGGTTAAATAACTAGTTACTCAGAAGTGACATAGCTGGGATTTGAAATGTTGTATGTCTCTGAGTCATATGCTTATAAGCACTACAGTTTGTTCTTCAAAATTGTCATTGAGAAAAGTTTTATAATTCATTATTATATATTGACTATAATTCGTTATTATATATTGACTATAATTATAGTATTGACTTTATTCAGATTTTGGTTTTTAGAAATTGCCTTCAGAGCCAATTTGTGAATTAAGAATGAAAATAAACTCCATTAGACCGGGTGCAGTGGCTCATGCCTGTAATCCCAGCACTTTGGGAGGCCAAGGCGGGCGGATCACGAGGTCAGGAGATTGAGACTGTCCTGGCCAACACGGTGAAACCCCGTCTCTACTAAAAATACAAAAAAGTAGCCGGGTGTGGTGGCACGTGCCTGTAATCCCAGCTACTCAGGAAACTGAGGCAGGAGAATGGCATGAACCCGGGAGGTGGAGCTTGCAGTGAGCCGAGATCGCGCCACTGCACTCCAGCCTGGGCGACAGAGTGAGACTCTGTCTCAAACAGCAACAACAACAACAAAAATCTCCAATTAATTTGTAGTTAAACATATTTTTAAAATTAAAATTGGCATTCTCATTAGAAGATATTCAGCATATACAGCTCTAAGATACTTTATGTTTAAAATTATTAAATAAACTTTTATGCATTTAGCACTGTATACTTTACCTGTGAGTAGGGGTTCCACTTATTTTGCAGATCTGTCAAGGAGAGAGAAATTAACATAATCCCAGAGGAGTATTAAAAAATCTTCTGTGGGCCGGGTGCAATGGCTCGTGCCTGTAATCCCAGTGCTTTGGGAGGCTGAGGTGGGCGGATCATTTGAGGTCAGGATTTCAAGACCAGCCTGGCCAACATGGTGAAACCCCATCTCCACTAAAAAACACAAAAATTAGCTGGGCGTGGTGGCGGGCGCCTGTAGTCCCAGCTACTCAGGAGGCTGAGGCAGGAGAATAGCTGGAACCGTGGAGGCAGAGGTTGCAGTGAGCCGAGATTGTGCCACTGCACTCCAGCCTGGTGACAGAGGAAGACTCCGTCCAAAAAAAAAAAAAAAAAGAGAAGAAAACCTTCTATGACCCATAGAATTTTCAGGCTTAAAAGGAATTGGACCATTTTCTGTGTCATAAAGTATTACCTACATGAACAACTTAATATATCAATGTAGTCAATGTCTTTTTTTGCAACAAGTATTGACTCTTTATTGATTTTTCCCTTTTTATTTTGCAAATATTTAAACCTCCAGAAAATTTTAAAGAATAATATAGTGAATATCTGTATGCCTTTTGCCTAGATTCATGAGTTACAAGTTTCACATTTGATTTCTTTCTCTTTTTTTTTCTGCCCACCTGCTTTTTTTCCTGAACTATATAAAAGAAAGTTGTTGACACCATTTTATTTTACCTTAAAACATGTCAACTTATTCCTCCTGAAAAACAAGGCTTTTCTTCTATGTAACCAAAGTACCTTGATTATTCCCAAGAAATTTAATATTAATAAAATAATATTATCTGAGTTGCAGCTCATTTTCGAATTTCTTCATTTGTCCAATGTCTTTATAGCTTTATTGAAAAGTGTCTCTTAATTTGGTCTTTCCTGCTGATGAGTCAGAACATAGGTATATTCAAAGAGCCCTTTTTTATAACTAGCACTCAACTCAATCTTATCTTCCATATGTTATAGTTTGAATCTTTTCTTCTTAGTAATTCTATAAATAGAACTTTTCCTACAAAGTTTTCACAACTGAGATGAAACATTGGGGTAGTTCAAATATGAGAGACTAACTTCAGTATATACATGTAGTTTTTTCTGTCTGCATTATTACTATTTTTTCCTAAGGTGTTGAGAGGCATTTCTTGTGCTGAACATGAATATTTTTAAGAGCCATATAAAGCTAATAATGTGACCTTATTGAAAGAATCATAATATTGTCATTATCTCTTACGATATTTATATATTTTTAATTGCTTTTTGTTATTAAAAAGTTGTATCTTTAATTACTAAGGTATATTGCTTGTTTTCAGGAGATTAAGCGATGAAAAAAACCTTCCTCTTGACGGTAAACGGCAACGTTTCCATTCACCCCACCAAGAGCCAACTGTAGTTAACCAGATAGTGCCTTTATCAGGTGAACGAAGATACTCAATGCCGCCATTGTTTCATACACATTATGTACCAGATATAGTCAGATGTGTTCCACCTTTTCGAGAAATACCATTTTTAGAACCTAGAGAAATCACACTGCCTGAGGCCAAAGATAAGGTAATAATAATGTAGATTTTAGTTTTGCCTTTTGGGAATTTAGTATAAATAATGTATTAATCAAAAATATTTAATATCCTGGATTAAGTAGAGCATGCCTTTTTTTCTTGCAATGTTTAAAGTACTATTCAGCCTAATTTTCTGTCTAAACATTACTCTGATTTTTGGTAGCTATTCTTTTATAGAAGTGCAGCCGTCAGGAAATCAGATTTTCCCTGATGTATGAAAATTTTTTTAGAACCCAAACACTTTCTTAGTTTAGAGAACTGCCCTGTTACTTGTTCTTACTGAAAAAAAAAAAAAAAGTTTTTTTCATACAGCTATCGTAATAGAGTGTTAGAACACATTTTATTTTGGGGAGTCACTGAGAAAAACAATACATTCAAAGTGATACAGTCAACAAAGATTTATCAAAAACATTTATAAAAAGCATTTTCAGTTAAGTGAAATGAAGCTATTTAAATAATAATTCTTGGAAAATGACGTTGTCAGCATTGGGGAACAATGAGTTATTTAACATCTAATACTAGAAACCTATCTCTCCCCTCCCCCATATTTAGTGAAACCTAATACGATTTTTCCGAGTAATTGAGAGAGTTAGTAATGTAAATATCTGCATTCTCTTGGGTTGTCTGTGGTTTATACTTGCTGTTTTTGCATTTTCAAAGCTGCCACACTCTTGAGAAATGAGATATTTGTAGGCTAAGGAGAAGGACCATGAAGAAAATACAACAACTTTGTTTTACTCATCTTTGAGTTCCTATCAACCAGCATAGGTCTGAAACATAGTAAGTGTACAGAAATGTTGGGTCAGAAAAGCAACATCTGCTTCATTCCTTAGTTGTGCTGCTTTTTTATTTCTCTGTTATTCTTTTGTTATTTAAGTGAGTTATAATTGTACCATAAAATTCACCCTTTTAAAGTGTACAGTTCAGTGGTTTTGAAATATATTCCGAAAGTTGTGCAACTGTACTATCTGATTCCCAAACATTTTCATCACCCCCAAAAGAAACCATGTACCCAATAGCAGTCATTTCTCCTGCTCCCTGGCAACAACTAATCTATTTTCTGTCTTTATCCCATCCTGGACATTTTATATAAATGAAATCATTCAATATGTGGCCTTTTGTGTCTTGCTTCTTTCATTTAGCATGTTTTCAAGGTTCATCCATGTTGTAGCATACACATCAGTACTTCATTCCTTTTTATAGCTGAATAATATTCCATTGTATGAGTAGACCTCACTTTGTTAATACAGTCCTCAGTTGGTGAATTTCTGGGTTGTTTCCACTTTTCATCTGTTATGAATAGTGCAGCTGTGAATATCTGTACAGATTTTTGCATGGACATATGTTTTTACCTCTCTTGGAGTGAAATTGCTTGGTCATATGGTAACTCTGTGTTTAACTTTTTGAGGAACTGCCGAAGTATTTTCTAAAGTGGTTGCACCATTTTACATTCCTATCAACAGTGTATAGGTGCTGTACATTCTTTACATGCTTGCTGAACTTGCAGCACTTGTTACTGTCTGTCTTTTTGATTATAGCCATTCTAGTGGGTATGAAATGGTATCTCATCGTGATTTGGATTTGCATTTCCCTAATGCCTAATGATACTGAGCACCTTTTCATTTGCTTATTGGACATTTGTATATCTTCTTGGGGAAATGTCTATTCATCGAGATACCTTGCCCATTTTTAAGTTGGACTGTTTGTTTTTTTACTGTTGGGTTGTAAGAGTTCTTTATGCATTCTACATATTAGACCCTTACTGGATAATTTGTGAATTTATGCTCCCATTATGTGGCTTGTCTTTTTACTTTCTTTTTGGTATCCTTTGAAGCACAAATACCTTTCATTTTGATACAGTCCAATTTATCTATTTTCCTTTGATTGGTTGTGCTTTTGGTGTCATATCTAAGAAACTATTGTACAGGGTCACAGAGATTAATGCCTATGTGTTAATTTTTAAATTTTATTTATTTATTTTTTATTATTTTTTCCTTGCCCTGCCTATGTGTTACTCTGAGAGTTTTATAGTTTTAGTTCTTTCATTTAGGACTTTGATCCATTTTGAGTTAATTTTTGTGTATGATGTAAAGTAGGGGGTCCAACTTTATTCTTTTGCTGTTGGTCCAGTTGTCTCAGCAGCTTATTGAAGAAACTGTTCTTTTCTCCTCTGCAACTTTTTTTTTTAACCATATTGAAATAGGAAAAACAATCAGTCAAAATCAGTGGGAGAAAGGAAAAAGGCAAAGGAAACTGAGGAAAGATTAACTTGGGTTTTTTTAGTTAGTTTTTTGTTTTTTTTTTTTTGAGATGGAATCTAGCTCTGTTACCCAGGCTGGAGTGTAGTGGCGTGATCTTGGCTCACTGCAACCTCCACCTCCTGGGTTCAAGCGATTCTCCTGTTTCAGCCTCCTGAGTAGCTGGGATTACAGGTGTGTGCCACCATGTCCGGCTAATTTTTGTATTTTTAGTAGAGACGGGGTTTCACCATGTTGATCAGGCTGGTCTTGAACTCCTGACCTCGTGATCCACCCACTTCGGCCTTTCAAAGTGCTGGGATTACAGGCATGAGCCACTGTGCTCGGCCTAGTTTTTATTTATTTTTATTTTTATTTTTTGAGATGGAGTCTCGCTCTGTTGCCCAGGCTGGAGTGCAGTGGCGTGATCTCGGCTCACTGCAAACTCCGCCTCCTGGGTTCAAGCTATTCTGCCTCAGCCTCTCGAGTAGCTGGGACTACAGGCGCCTGCTACCACACCCACCCAGCTAATTTTTTGTATTTTTAGTAGAGACAGGGTTTCACCATGTTAGCCAGGATGGTCTCGATCTCCTGACCTTGTGATCCACCCTCCTCGGCCTCCCAAAATGCTGGGATTACAGGTGTGAGCCACCGCACCCAGCCACCTGGCTAATGTTTTAAATTTTTTTTTTTTTGGTAGAGCCAGGGTCTTGCTGTGATACCCAGGGTCTTGCTATGATACCCAGGCTGGTCTTGAACTCCTAGCCTCAAGTGATCCTCCCTCAGTGGCCTCCCAAAGGGCTGGGATTACAGGTATGAGCTACTGCGCCTAGCTGTTTTTACTCATTTTAAAGACTATCTTGTAATGCCATAATATGAAAGCCTATGGTATAAATCAAATCAGATCAATCCTTTGAATGAACATATAAGAATCTTTTTGCTGGATGTGGTGGCTCACACCTGTAATCCCAGCACTTTGGGAGGCCGAGGTGGGCAGATCACAAGGTCAGGAGTTCAAGACCAGCCTGGCCAATGTGGTGAAACCCCGTCTATACTAAAAATACAAAAATTAGCTGGGCGTGGTGGCAGGCACCTGTAGTCCCAGCTACTTGGGAGGCTGAGGCAGGAGAATGACTTGAACCCAGGAGGCGGAGGTTGCAGTGAGCCGAAATCACGCCATGGCCCTCCAGCCTGGGCAACAGAGTGAGACTCCGTCTCAAAAAAAAAATAAAGAATCTTTTACTGGTTTTTAAAGGTATGTATGCTGATAGCCCTGTTTTCTATGGAATTCATTGTGATAAACTATTGAAAGCTCTCTATTTTTACTTGGATTTGTATGTTGTGATAGTTAACTGTTAGAACTAACTAACTATGAGTTTTGCATATGAACTAGGCAAATTTTCAATTTCAGTAAATTTAATAACAATTCACATTGGTGTCAGCATAAACCATCTGGCAAAGTACCTTTCTGTATCAATGTTTTAAAATTAGTCGTATAGAAAGAGATACTCCTAAATATTTAGAATTAGGGATTTATCTCAGAAGGCTAAAGATAGATTGTGTAATTGAACCAATATCTTTATTTTCCTTTTTTGAGACAGAGTCTTGCTCTTGTTGCCCAGGCTGGAGTGTAATGGCATGATCTTGGCTCACTGCAACTTCCACCTCTGGGGTTTAAGCGATTCTCCTGCCTCAGCCCCCCAAGTAGCTGGGATTACAGGCACGTGCCACCATGCCCGGCCAATTTTGTATTTTTAGTAGAGATGGGGTTTCACCATGTTGGTCAGGCTGGTCTCAAACTCCTCACCTCAGGTGAACCACCTGCCTGAGCCTCCGAAAGTGCTGGGATTACAGGTGTGATCCACCACGCCTGGCTGGAACCAATTTCTTTGAGTGCTACTCTCTACCTGTCAAGTTGTGGGAGAAAGAAGGCAAGCAGTTAGTTTTGTGTTTATTTTTTAAGTGAACACTTTTTAAGAAAGCTAACATTGATGTCTCTTTTAGGCATTCTACATATGCTATCTCATTTAGTCTTTTCAGCAACCCCATGACATGGATGTTATCCTAATGTTATTGAGGCTCAGAAAGCTAAATAACTTGCTCAAGGTCATAGCTAGTAAGTGGTAAAACCAAGATTTGATCTCTGTCTCTAAAAATATGAAGAGAAGGAGTTTAAGATACTAAAATCAAGGGTAGGCAGATGACATTCTAACTCTAATACCAGGTAATCTGTGACAGTGATAATTAATATTTATTGAGTATCTGTCATTACTGGCATTGTATTTGACAGTTTGTATGGTTTACTGCTGTTTACTTCTGTAGAGTGTAAAGTGAATGGAGGATTCAGTGTGAGATAAAGTGGAGCAGTGGTTTGAAGCCTTGAATGCAAGTAAAATGCTATCGAAGATTTTAAAGTAGAAAAATAGCACAGTCAGATTTGTATTTTTAGAAAGTCGTTGCTGTATAGTGAATTTGGTTTAGAATGAAGTGGGCTTGGAAGATGGTGATCACCTTGAAGACTTACATTCACCCTGAAGATGATTGACCCCCTTGAAGGCTGTTAAATTCATCCTAATGAGAGGCGCTGAAGCTTTCAGTTATGGTAGATGGTAGTGAAAAAGATGTGGGAGATAATGTATAAGGAAAATTGATAGAATGTGTAGAATAATTGAGTGTAGAAGAGAGAGGGTGAAAGAGACATGAATGACTCCAATGATTTGATTCTGGGTTACTAGTAGAGATAAGGAACCTAGAT